TCAAAATAGGCCTAATCATTACTCGATTAATAACATAACAAGCGGTATTTGTGGCTTCCGCCCAAAAATATTTTGGCAAATTGTTTTCACAAAGCATGGTTCTAGCCATTTCTTTTAAAGTTTGATTTTTCCTCTCAACAACTACATTTTGTTGAGGGGTTCTAGGTGCTGAAAAATTATGGCTAATACCATTAGAATTACAAAATTCAGTAAATCCAAGATTTTCAAATTCAGTTCCATGATCACTCCTAACACTAGTTATAAAGTAACCTTTTTCGTTTTAGATTACTTTTGAAAACGTGATGAATTTTTCTAATACTTCATCTTTAGTACTTAAAAATAGAACCCAAATATATCTAGAATAATCATCTATCAATACAAATGCATATTGTTTTCCACCCAAGCTAGTAGTTCTAGATGGTCCAAAAAGATCTAAATGGATCAATTGTAATACTCTACTAGTGGATACATCATTAATGGATTTAAAAGAAATTCGCTTTTGTTTTCCTTTAGCACAAGCATCACAGATTTTACCATTATCAAATTTTAGTTTAGGCAATCATCGAACTAAATCTCCTTGCATTAACCGTTGCAAAACACTCATACTAGCATGTCATAGTCTCCTATGCCATAACCAACTATCATGCTCATCCTTTGCAACTAGGCATAAATTAGTCATATTTATGGAATCTAAATGCACCATGTAAATGTTTCTTATTCTATGACCAACAAGCATAATCCGATTATATGCAAAGTCAATAACTTTACAACCATTAGTTTCAAACATGACATTGAATCCCTTATCACGTAATTGATTAATACTCAAAAGATTATGCTTTAATCCATTTACATATAAAACATTTTTAATTTGTATGGAAGAGGTATTACCTATTGTACCTATACCTTCAATGCGACCTTTTGAATTATCACCAAAAGTCACTTCTCCTCCATTTTTGGCGTTAAGTTCTATGAACCGGCTTTTGTCTCCAGTCATGTGTCTTGAGCATCCACTATCAAGGTACCATGAGTTTGAATTTGTTTCTCGTGCCTTGTATCAATGCTCTTTTTCCTACAAACATAGCTTAATTTTTGATTTTTGGTACCCAAATTCTTTTGGGTCCATATTCATTACTTTCCAAAATCTTAGTCCCCTTAGGTATCCATTTGTGTAGGATATCTTTATCTTTAGTAGTAATGAGTTCTTTAGGAACCCATATACTTCTAACGATTTTTCTATTAGAGGTTTTTCGGGGATCTATATGATTGTAGTTTTTAAAACTTTTTCTAACAAAGTTGGATTTTGAATTTTCTCCATTTTCAAAACGTTTTGTTCCAACTTTATCAAAAGAAGCTTTAAGATCATCAATTTTCTTTTGATGATCATCATTGACCTTTGAAAGTAAATTTTGCAAATCCGAATTTTTCTTTTCAAACTTTTTCTAATTTGATTTGCAAATTACTGATTTTACTTTCAAGATTATTGTTGGTATTGAATATGAGCTTATTTTAATTTTTCAACTTTGAAATATCATTTTTATATTTTAAAAACAATTTCTCATAATCCGAAGCCAACCCATTATATTCCTCTAATAACTCATCATAAGATAAATCATCTAATTCAAATGAGTTATAGGTTACCTAAGAATCTTCCCTGAATGCCATCAAGCACAAGTTTGCTACTTCTTATTCCTTTTCATCGGAACTTTCATCATCGCTCCATGTAGCCACGTGAGCCTTGTGCTTATTCTTTGATTGACCATTTCTCTTTAATTGTGGGCAATCATATTTGACATGCCCCAGTTTTTTGCATTCATAGCAAATGATCGGGTCTTTATCTTTTGGTTCATTTTTGAAGCCTTCATTTCGTTTGAATTTTCTTCCTCGGTTAGGCTTCATCATTTTTCTGAACTGTTTGGCAAACAATGCCATCTCATCGTCATCATCATCGTCATCTTCATTAGAATCACTCTCATCTTTTGTTGATTTGAGAGCAACTCTAACATTGTTTTTCTTCTCCGTCTCCTTCTTTGGCTCATCTCTTTTCTCAAGGTCTTCCTCTTCTTTAAGCATCATTTCATGCGTGAGGAGAGAGCCAATAAGTTCATCGAGGATCAAGGATTTTAAGTTCTTAACCTCGATGATCGCCATCTTCTTTGATTGCCAAGCTTTTGGAAGAGAGTAAACTAATTCCTTACAAGCTTGTCATTTGGAATTATTTCTCCATATGATTTGAGACTATTGACAATCGTGGAGAATCTATCCGTCATAGCTTTGACATCTTCATCTGGTTTCATCCTAAAATTTTCATAGCTATGAGTTAGAAGACTAATTTTAGATTTTTTTACCTCGTTTGTTCCTTTATGAGTGACTTGTAGTTTGTCCCATATCTCCTTGGCGGTTGTACAAGATGAAAATCTCTCGTATTCATCTGGTCCAAGAGCACAAAAAATGATATAGATGGCTTTGGAGTTGAGCTAGAACATTCTTGTCTCTCCTTCACTCCATAATCTCGGGTGAGTGGAGGGTTTGATGTATCCATCTTCTATGATATTCCATGCTCCCATGTCACTTGCTTGAATGAAATACATCATCTTATTCTTCCAATAAGCATAATTAGCTCCATTGAAGAAAGGAGGCTTGTTGACGGGTAATGAATCGAGACCGAAGTCAGAGTTTGAAGCGCCGACCATTGATGACTTGGAAATCGATGTAACTCTTACCGAATCGACTCAAGAGGCGATTAAACCTTCAAATGAGTGAGGCTCTGATACCAATTGTTGAGTTAATCGATTGATGGAATAGGCCAAGAGAGGGGGTGAATTGGCAATTAAAATTTTGGTGGAAGCTTTTGCAGAAAATTGAAAGAAGTTGCACAACGATTTAGAGTGGTTCGACTTTCTCAACCAAAGTCTACGTCCACTACCTTAGCTATCCACACTAAGGATTTTCCAACAAATTCACTAATTTTTTCTTTCTTTTGAGGCCAAAGAGATAACCTTACAACTCCCTCAAGAATATACCCAAATTCTTGAGAACACTCTTTTTCAAAGAGAAACACAAATTTGCAAACTTACAATGAAAACCTCACAAGGTAGATTGTTTGCACAATTCTAGAACAAAGAAAGAACACTCGAGAATGAATATAATTGAGTGCAAGTAGTGTTCTTGAAAGCAAAATGAATATTGAATGAAAAATAGGCTTGAAGTGCTCAAACAATGAGTTTGATGCTTTCTCTTTGATTCTCACTTGATTCTTGTTTCTTGTTGTTTCTTCTTATTGATCAATGGCTTCTAAGCTTGTTTAAATACTCATTCAATTGATTCTGAACGTTGGGGATGATTAGTGGAGTCAATAGAGCCGTTTAAGTGTGAAAACAATTAATAAAACAATTGGGAGCGTCTGGTGCATCGATGCATATGGCTGGTGCATCGGTATACTATGTGTAAAATTCAAATATTTCGACCGTTGGACCCTTGGTGCATCGGTGCACTAAGAGTGCATCGATGCATAAAATGTATTCGATGTTTTAAAATAGCCTGAGTGCATCGATGCATAAAATGCATTCGATGTTTTCATAAAACCCTGAGTGCATCGATGCATGGTATGTGCATCGATGCATGGATTGGTGCATCGGTACACTCCCTTGAAAAATTGATTTTAGGCTCGTTTTTTGTTCGAAATACTTTGTGAAATTTGTTTCAAAAATAGTTTAAGTATAAAAACACACTTTTACACATTAGTAAGGATTGAGATTGAACTTTGAAAGACTTGGAGTAATATTTTGATATTCGAGTTAATTAAATCGAATATACTTAGAAAATCATTTGTAAAATCTTAAAATTCATTTAACTTAATTTGTTATATCGAAACATCAAAATATTTTCAACATTATACACTCACAAGAACAAAATGTTAAAGATATTTTTTTTATATAAAGCATAAATATGCATCACAAATTTAGAGAGGAAACAACGTTCCATAATGACAGAAAAGTTTAAAGAAACCTCCGGTCTTACTAAAGACGAAACATAGAATAATTTGGATCAAAAATTTATTTATTAGCCAATTCTACATGGATCTAATTTACTCATTGAATTTAATAACATTTATATCTTTTCATTCAGATTTCAGCCTTACAAGTTAATGTAATATCTACCTTAAATTAATTGAAAGTTTTTCATCTCATATTATTTGTAATTAAATTATCTTTTATCTCGTTATCACGCATAAATTAATTTTTTTAATTTAAATTAATTTGATAGCTTTTTTAGTTTCACTAATTAATTTAAATAATTAATATTATTATTCACTGTTTTAGTTTAAATGATTTTTAAATGCATCGTTTTCGGCCCATCATGCATACCTTTTGTGTTAGAACTTAGAAGTAATGCTTTTAGAAAAAAAACTTATGGTAGTATTTTAATAAGATAGTTAATGATATTAATTATTTAAATATTTTTATTAACTAATAATATCATAGATATTAATAATAAATTGTAAAAACAAAATAAAAATTTAAATCTCAAAATTTACATTTTATATAGAGTAATTTATTTCATCACTGAATTTTACTTTCACTCTTATTTTATTAATTGAACTTTAAAAAATTTTAATTTTTTTCATTGAACTTAATACCTTGGATTTTTTGTCGCTTAACTTTATTCTCTATCCTATTTTGATCACTCCATCATTAAATAGTTAACAATATTAAAAATGACATCATTTAAAAAAAATAAAATTTTTACCAAAACGACGTTGTTTTGCATCTATATAACAATTACTTTTAACACCGTTAACTATTTAATGTCCGAGTGACAAAAAATAATATTAAGTTCAATAAGAAAATTGAAAAGAATTAAAGTACAGTGAGTGAAAGAGGAGAGAAGTAAAGTTAAGTTACCAAATTTATAATTTACCCTTTTATATATTATATAAGAATACAAAATATGAAACGCAAGTAAAAATATCTATAAATAAATTATCCACTCTTTAAAAAAGAGAGTAGATTTTGATTTCAATTTACATCTTTGAATCGATTTGAAAGAACAGAATTGAAGGGAAAGAAAGTCCAAAGAAGGAAAAAAATACAGTTAGCTGCACCACAAATGGCGGACGCCTTTTGTTCAGACTGCAAGCGGAATACAGAGGTTGTTTTGGATCACTCGGCCGGTGATACGGTGTGTTCGGAGTGCGGGTTGGTATTAGAATCGCATTCCATCGACGAGACATCAGAGTGGAGAACCTTCGCCAACGAGTCCGGTGATAATGATCCTGTCCGTGTCGGCGGTCCAACTAATCCGCTTTTGGCGGATGGCGGTTTATCCACCGTTATCGCTAAGCCCAACGGTGCTTCTGGAGAGTTCCTTTCGTCATCGCTGGGTCGGTGGCAGAATCATGGGTCGAATCCGGATAGGGGGTTGATTATCGCTTTCAAGACAATTGCTACCATGTCTGATAGGTAAATTATATCAGTTTTTTTTGTGTTTTTGGATTTTTATTTTTTTGATATTGGGTTTTTGTTGATATTATGTAATCTAGTTGGATGGTCAGGGTTTTTGGGGAAATTAAGTGAGAGTATTTATGCTAGTATTGTGGTTCTTTTGTGAAATTATTAGAGTTATGTTTGATTTGAGTTTGGGGTGTTCATTGCTTATGGAAATTAATTACTGGAAATGCTTAATATTTTGGGAATTTTTATCTCTTTCCGGATTTGGTTGCCATTTGAGAACCGAGATGTTTTAATTGGTGGTGAAAACAATTTACAAGGCAATTGTCGTTAGCTTGTTTACTTGTATGTACTGTAGAAAAATTTGAACAAAGTTTGAGGGCTGATTCTAGGAAATTTAGTATCTATTTGGGAAGTGATATGCTTTTCAATTTATTTTCCTTTGGTAGAATCAAACTGGTCTTGAATGTTAATATTTCTTGCTGATTGAATTTTAGCTCTTTTTGGCACCGTTGTTGTTGCAACATACAAGAGGACTTGGGTTTGAACTTCTAATGTGCTTAAGCACGCAACATACAAAAGCATTGATGTTTAATCTCTACGATTACTTTGTGAAGAGTCTTAATACTGGCTTTCAATTACTATTCTGTTGTAGGTGTAAAGATTTGCATATTTATTCACTTTCCCTTTCCCCTTATCGATGAAGAGAAGTTCTGTGCTTGAGAGAGAGTATTTACTACGAAATGTCACTTATTTGTATAATTTTATGTTTCAGGTTGGGGCTTGTGGCTACCATCAAGGTATGCTACCTATTTCAATGCAGATATAATTTGAACCATTTGATGATTCGGTGTATTACTATAGACTAACATGCACATATGGCATATACTTGATACACTCTATTTTTAGTATTAATGTGTATGTATATCATTGATATAAGCTGCCATTGCTGGACCAAATGAAGGTTTGATGCGCTAGGCTATATCATGTCATTGGCAATACTAAATCGAAAAAGTTAAAAGCTTAGCATGACAGACTTAATAAGAATAACTTGTTTTGAACAGTATGCCTTTAGTGTAAGTATTTGAAGTTTCTTGGAATTTCTTCTGCTGGCAACTGAAAGTTTCTTGGAATTTCTACCACTCTTAGTTTACTTCTCAATTATTGTCTTCTAAGATTACAAATAGTTTTGAGAATGTTGATGCTTCTAAAAGAAATTCTTTCATATTTGAAGTAGTTGTTAAGCTAATTTGAGAATCTTCCTATTCTTGGCTGTAACATCTCACTCTTTACATTTATACTTTTAGTTAGCTGACATGTTCATCTCTAGTGGTATTTTTTTTCCTTTTATCACTTTTCTTCTTGTGTGATTTATGGGGTTTTTTTCATTGGTTGAAGGATCGAGCCAATGAGATATTTAAGAAGGTGGAAGACCAGAAGTCTAGTAGAGGAAGAAATCAGGATGCGTTGTTGGCTGCTTGCCTATACATTGCTTGTCGACAAGAGGATAAGCCACGCACTGTCAAGGGTACAGGCTAAGATTCTTTTAACATCTGGATGTTTCATGATTTATCTTTCTTAATCTCTATGAGCTTCCTTGAACCCGTGGATTTCAATTAGAAATTTGCTCTGTCGCCAACGGAGCCACAAAGAAAGAAATTGGACGAGCAAAAGAATACATAGTGAAACAACTGGGATTGGAGACTGGTCAGTCCGTGGAGATGGGAGCCATTCATGCTGGTGACTTCATGGTGAGTTCCCTCGTCTGCCACATGCTTGGAAGGCAGCACTTCCATGGTTGAATAATGAATTCTATTCATTTGTGCTCACCTTCAATGTTTTCACTGACACTAATCCGTTCAATTATTAGAGGCGTTTTTGTTCCAATCTCGGCATGAATAATCAAGCAGTTAAAGCTGCCCAGGAGGCAGTTCAGAAGTCCGAGGAGTTTGATATAAGGTAATTATTAGTCTATATTCTTCATGAAGTTATGAGCCAATACTGAATTCCTTTTTAAGCATTTTGCTTTCAAACAAATTTCAGTGTCATCTATGACTTGGATAAATCTGTGTGGACCTATGTTATTCCGACTCTTTAATTTTATTTACCCATGTTTAACACTCATGTGTGACATATATGAGTAGATAATGATTGTCCAAATATGTGAAACCAAAAAATTGAGCATACCAGTGTCGGTCACATACTTGTATTCGACACTCATTTGAATTCGAGGAACATAGGTGGACCTTACAAGTTAACAGAATGTATGATTAGGAAATGGGGATTTGAGTTGATTAACGGATGTGATCGGGTAATTTTTGAATTATTGTTTGAATAGAGAACTAAAGAAAAAGAAGCTGTTAGATTCTAAATGACACTCATGACTTGGATAAATCTATCCCTGCAACCAAATTTTTATTCAATTTGGTTATTTTATCTTAGGCATTTGTTGGATGCTGTACTTACTAATTTGTGTACCTTTTGCAGGCGAAGCCCTATATCAATTGCAGCAGCAGTTATTTATATCGTAACACAGCTTTCAGATGATAAGAAGCCTCTTAAAGGTTTGACTTTTTTTCCATATTTATTGTCATGATTCTTCTCGACACTTCACTGCTATATTATTCCAACTCGTTGTGTTTCTTGAATTAAATATGCCTGATAAGCCCGGTCCTTTTTAGGATATGTCACTCTTCAAAACCATTAAAAAAAACCTTCCTGAGCGTGTCTGTGTTGGGGACATGTTTGTATCCGACGCACACCCCCGTGACCAAGGAAAGCAAAGTATTATGATTCTCTGAAAAATGCAGAGTTTTGATAGAAAATTTCAGTTCTGATAGAAAATGGGTGGGATGCAGATATTTCAGTTGCTACGGGAGTTGCAGAAGGGACGATCCGGAATTCGTACAAGGATCTTTATCCCCATGTATCAAAGATAATACCGAACTGGTATGCCAAGGAAGAAGATCTGAGGAACCTATGCAGTCCTTGAATTATAGAACAGACAATAATGTGAATACCCAAAAGAAGAATGTTCTCTCCCCGGGTTGTCGTAACTCTTGGAACTATCCGGTAATGATGTTTTTCTGTTTTCCTTTTCATTTTTCTTGCATAACTCCACCCTTGCAAGCAGGGCGAAAATGTCTATGGCATTTACTGATCAATTGCAATTTTAAGTTCTAGCAATCAATTTCAATTCTCATTCGGTCACCCATATTTGAATATATTGATTATCGGAAATACTTGGGGATTGTGCAAATGGGTATAATGAGTATTAATGCACTATTTCTTTAAAGAAAAATCTTTTGATGCTTTATGAGTTGAATTATCATTTGATTTAAAAGGCAAATAATTAAGTACAAATTTGACAAAATTTGATATATTTTTGTTATTCATATATAGAGATACTTATCAGGTAAGTCGATCGTAAGTTTAGTTTTTTATTCTTATAAATTGTTTGATTTGTGTTCAATTTGATACTTGATAAAATTTTGTTAGGCGTACTCGTTAAAAATTCTTGTTATTCCACTTGGCTCGTTATTCGACACTTTTTTTTGGATAAGCTTTGTTGCAAATACCTAAAGAGAAACAATAAAAACTGCTAAAAAAAGACGTTCAAGGCTCCCTAACGCCCATGAAATAAGACAAACAACCCCCTACAGGGAGATCCCCCATCGAGAACAAAGTATTATATTCACAGTATCAACCTTATCAAAACATCTACCGCCTAACCTAATGCAAATCATACCTTTCACAGCCTTCAATACAATACCCAAAAAAAAAAAAACTTTGCATTACTCTCCCAAATGCAATAAAGGAAAACACTCCATACAAGCTTAAGAACAAAAACAAACGACTACTTACATAAATAAACTGTGACCCAGCTCAACTCCTCCTCCCAGCACCTCGCCTCCCTTGTTAATCCATAAAGCCTCAAAATGGCCGACAGATGCTTGCCGAGTAGGTGCACTCAAAGAACGAATGACTTTTGGTCTCATCCTCTTCCCTACAAAGAGGGCGTTGGCTATCAACATTCAGACCCATTCAAAGCAACTTATCCTTGGTGGGAAGCCTTCCCAAGATTGCCATCCAACTGATGATAGCGTGAGTGCTTAGGAATATGCAGCGGAATCCACACAATCATATGCCAGTCAACCTTAAGATATTTGACTCGAAACTCCGACCAAATCCACCTCGTAGTGACCTTACTCAAATCCTGAGCAAAGTTAAACAAATGAGTCGCCTTCACTCGCAACTTAAGGAGCTTTCTGAAGCACCAACTCGAATTTACTTTTACCTACAACCTGTCAAAAATCCACTCCTTTAAGAACGTATTCTTTAAGCCAAGCAACCCAAAGCGAACCCTGACCCGCAAGGATACTCCTGATCAACTGAATCTTGCAAGCTTTGTTCCAACAATGGATATCCCTAACCCCTAGACCTCCCTCCGATCTTAAGGAGCAAATTTGCTACCAACTAACACAAGCGCCAACAGCAGAAGTGTCAGCGTTCTTCCAGAAGAACCGAAAACACAACTGCTCAACCTTATTAATAGCATCCCGAGACAGAACCAATTGACGACATCAACTGTTGATTATACTAAACAAAACTGCCTTAATAAGCTGGAGCATACCAGTATAACTAAGATGCCGAGAAGACCACTAACTTAACAAATAGAAAATAGTGTGAAATAATTAGAAAAACTTAACTTTAAAGTAATAATTTATAAATACACTAAATTAACTTATTATAATTAAAGTTACAATTCACAAATATACCAAATTGACATATTATAAAAAAATTACAATATATTAATCCTAAAAGTAAGATAAACAAGATACTAAAAATTACTAAAAGAAATTGACAAACTATCTATGAACTTGTCGATTCGAATTAGATTTTACTCGATTCGTCTCGTCAAGTTCTCGGATTGAGTTCGAGTTAAATCAACTCAAATCGAACGTCAACTTTAATTGAGTCGAATTCGAACTATTCATGAGTTGCTCAACTCAATTAGCACCTCTATTCATATATCATAAAATATTAAAATAAATTTTATATTGATATAAATTTTTATAATTAAATTCAAATAAAAAATAAATTTTAAATTAATTGGATTGAATCAATCATTCGATTCATGAACATATTTAGATCAACATGACTCAACATTTTTTGGACAGTAACTTAGATGACATTCTTTAAAGTATACTTAGAGATTACCAGTGTTTCATAATCCAATTCATAAAAAGGAAGCTCCAAGGCTTTGTCTTGACTAATTGAAACCGACTTGTATCGCACACCTAGTTTTGGTGGGTGAGTATTCCACTTGAACCAATGTTCAACCCCTGTGGGTATCGATGCTTAATGCTTTACTAACATACTTTTACCATTAATCAAAGCATAGATGAAACTAAATAAATAATGAAAAATAAAATAGAAGAAAAGAGGCATCTAACACAAAGGAAAGTAAAAATATTGGCAAATTTAAAATATAAATTACAAACCTCTCCTCTTCACTCTCGACACTAATTTACCCAAACTCTTCCTATCAACTTCACTATCTTCTTCATCCAAATACAATATATTCCGGCCAACTATAAAGGAACTTGGTAAAATTTTGACGAATCATTTACCTAAACCTCCGTTTTGCTTCTCCGTAAGCAACGACACCGAGGACGGTCACTGTATAACCAGCAATGCCAACAACTGTGACGGGATTTCGGAACAAAAGTATCGAGATAACAACAGCCACTGCTCCTTTTGCATTGCCTAATACCTGAATCAATCCCCAGAGGAACATAAGGAAATGCAATAACCAGGCAAAGAAGCACAGCGATAGTCCTTATTCTCGTAGGAGAAATATGTAAATGAAAAATGTCGAATTTATGGCGGGTTATTAGTTCAGCTTTCAGCTAAGTAGATATTATATGAGGGAGTGCTTAAGGTCAATATATTTCCTGAAAAGAAACTAGAGGAAGGAAAAAGGGAATGAACCTGGAGTGTTAATGCACTTGTGTGTTTAGTCACCAAGAAATTCGACAAATTAGCCGAATATGCGAGTGTTGAGTTAATGAGAAGCAGCAGCCACATGTATCTATGCTGTCTTCCAAGTGATATTGTAACTTCTACAACATTTGGTTCCATTACAAGTGCGGCAGGCACTAAAACTAGAACGGCAATCGGGGACATGTAGAGTAGCAAATTCATCGAGTTCAGCTTTTCCCTGCAAGAACGATCCAACAACCCAAGCAGTTATCTACAAGGGAAAGACCGTATTTTTCAGATTACTGTGTTAAAGGATGACAGTAAGTTAAACGATGACTACGTGGCCTGGCACTAACAAGAATCGCAGACAAGCTTATCTTTGGTTAAACCCCAAGTGTCCTGCCTCCTCTCATCCAACTGAAAACTCACCATGAACAAGGAATAAAAAGGAAAATTGAAACTAAATGCAACAGACTCTTTTGCCAGAAACTATTAACCGAACATGTAAAGATATGAGCGAGGCGAATTGCAGACGATGAACAAATAGAAACAGAAGTGATATACCCTTCTGAAGAAAGCAGAATCCCCTGAAGAACTGATTTGAAGGCCCTTGCAGCAGTTGCACTTATGCACATTATGAATCCAAACCAGTGAAAACCCGGTTCACCCTGCCACCAATAATCAAATATAAGGGTTTTAATTAAAGAAAAAGAGAAACGTTGGCTAGAACTGCAGAAAAGTTATAGAGCTCTGCGTCTCTTTCCTAGTTAATAAAAAATGATGGATGCTTAAAAAGAGACAAGATATGTATACAAGCGCACGTGCACATTGGACTCATCTTCTTCCTTTATCTGTTTTCCTTTTGTCATTTTCATTCCAGGATGTCACAGTTTCGAGACGGTTGTACTTAAAACAGGTCAATTATACATAAAAAAGGCCTCATGATGTGCTCCGGATATGGCTAATCACATTGCAGTCAATATCTCATGTAAATTTACTTTCGTTCCGGTTACACTACAATAATTCTAAAGGAGGTAATTTGCATCTTCACTGCAATCGCAACAGACTCAATATCTCATAAATTTGCTTAGGTTCTGATTAGACTATAACTTCGATTCCAAAGTAATTTGCAACTTCACTGCAGAAAATTAGCATTTTATTGAATCATTAAGTAGCTCAGTGCATGCAAAATTTTACGGTAGCACATCTATTGTTAATCATCACAATTGACTCAATAAACCATCCTGAAAGTAAACAAATAAATTAGTGAAATTGATATTCGAGTTTTACGGTACCGAACATGTAACTTAAACCTAGCCAACCCACCTCTATGTTACGTCAGTTTGTTCAAATTTCCATTGTATCTATATATTTCAATCTTCTAGGTTCAGCTTAATGCATGTTCCGTAAGGCCTTTCTGAGACTTACAGCAAAAGGACAGTCCTGGAATATTTCTAACCCAAAAGTTATGTTCTTCTTAATCGTACGTTCTTCTTAATCGATTCTTCTTTTCTCTTGAGGTACCTATTGCCGAAGGCATCCTCAAAATACATCGAAAAGCTTAGAAAAAATTAAAATACATATGTTAGACACATACCGGTGTCTCACACTCCACTCGTCAAAGTCCAAATAACAAAGCCTAAAAGACAACGAAGTTGAAATGCTACAAAACTTTGTTGGTTTTGTAGTTTCAGCTTCTGAAACTAATTAATTAAGCACAATCTGGACTAATTAATGAAAAAGGATAGATTTTTTCTATGTTACTCGGACTCGAATACAAGCATCAAGTATGGGGAATGTATCCATCAGGAATATGGCTAAAATTTTCTAATTTTTTTCTATGTAATTAAAGAATCCTTGGAGGTTGTATTTGTATCCTAATATCCATGTAGATATGAATGTCCGGGACAGGGTATCCCACGAAAAACAAAGTCCGAGCAACATCGTTGATCTCGGATCGGACAGCTCTTAAAAATTTCAAATTCTCTTATAATTTGGTATTTTCTATTGATAATATGTTATGGTCCCTAACAATTATATAAGTTAATTTTCCTAATATAAAATCCTATATCCGTCTGATTAAGATTTACTATAGTAAAAGATCAAAGCATAGAATTACAACTAATTATAATACAAAATAACATCAAAACAATCTCAGATCTATCATCTTGGTCACCTCACATACACATTACATAAAATCAAAATCGTGTAATGATTCTAAATATGAACTTTCTTCTTTTTGCATCAATCAAAGATCCGAATGAGCTAAAAGAAGAAAAACAAAGGAGCATTTACATACCCCACTGGCAATGACAACCCCAGCAACAACAGGCACAAGAGCACCGTAAGTAACCCAAGCCTCCCTCTTGAAAGTCATCAAGTACGCAAACAAGGCAGTGAAAAACGGCGTCGTGGCACCGACGGCCTGGTTGAATGAAACCGGTAGGTACCTCAAAGAAACGTTGCCACCGACGACCGAACAACAAAAGACGACACTCAAAGTTGCAATCTTTAGGAACTGAGTCCTGGATTTGATCGGCTGGAGAGGAACGAGCTTGATGAAGACGATGGAGATGTAGCTGAAGAAAGCACAAGCCGACATGTGGCACATTGTTAAGAAAATTGGGAATCTGAAACCGTTGTTGGAAAGCAAGTATTTGTTCAAGAGGAGGACTCCGATGTTTGAGGAGTACCATAGGATTATGAGTGAAGATATGAAAAGGGTTTGCTTTTTTGATGATGATGGTTGCTGGGTTGATGACATTTTTGGAGGTTTTGAAATCGGAAGAGAAGAGTGTTGGATCTGTTCTTCTGTGAACTCGATGAAGGAGATGAAATATAGGATTGTAGCAGCTGTCACTTGTGCTTCACTGGGAATTTTGTATTTTCTTTGTTTTTGTACATATCTTTTACGTTTTAACACTTCCTTTCTAAATTTAATCTTAAATCTAAATTAAATAGGGTAAAGTATATGTTTAGTACCCAACTATTATATATTTCCGTTTTGATTACCTAAGTATTAATATTTTAAAATCATATCTAACGTTACATTTTAATTTCATTTTGATTAAAATTGACAGAATTATTGAAGTGACATTTAAAAAAATCAATAATGACATGATATTATTTTACGGTGACACGCCAACATCAACGTTAATTTTTCAATTGTAGGTGGTCGAAATAAAATCAAACTGTAATGTTATAATTTTGAAATAAAAAATAATTGAATGACCAAAATATAACAAAAAATAATTGAGGCATGAAGTTTAACCTATAAAAGTGTTTGATTTCAATTCTTTTTAATATTAATATCAATAGATTCTGCATTTCCCCCCTATTTTACCTACCATAATAGTATATGTTGCTCATCTTTCAAAATCATAAACATGGCCCTAACAACATTTATTCTTTTTTATCTTTTGAATCTGCTACATTTTGATCTCCTTAATTTATTTATGATTAATTTCCAAGTTTTTCCTGTGATTTTATCATTTCTTTTGTTTAATGAATAAAGAACCTAGTATATGTTGCTGATTCGGGAGGCTTTAATTGGTCGAACGTTCATTGTAGAAATCTGTTAGATCGCGAATGGCTGATGGTTGAAGCTTTAAAGAAGCAAATTTCCGGAGTAAGTGTGTCAAGTAACAGAGTCGACAAAATGGAATGGAGTCATGACAAAGGGGGTGTTTTCTCAGTTAAAAAATTGTTTGATCTAATAGTTGATGCGGATGTGGAAGCACCAGAATTTGAGTTCGACAAAATCTGGAAATTGTTTGTTCCCCCGAAGGTAAAAAGGTTTGTCTGGATGCTTAAGATTCATAGATTACCTACCAAAGTATTCCTCAAAAACCGGGGTATGGAGTAGTGGACATGGAGTGCTTATGTTGTTGGTGTGGGGTGGGGCAGTGGGGCTTGAGGAGGTGGATCATCATTTTGTAAACTGCCCTTATATAGCTCAATTCTGGGTTTTGTTCACTCGGCGGTGGAGAATTCCATGGAGTAAACCTTGTACCACTGACCGTTTTTACGATTGGTGCATTTCTATTCAAATCTGTTCGGAACTGAAAAGTATTTGGCTTGTGTAAATTTCGGCTGCCCTCTGGAGTATTTGGTTGAGTAGAAATGATCGTGTGTTTAGTGGAAAGAGTAATTCTCTTACGGATCTAATTTTCATACCTAATTTACGTGCGTTGACTTGGTTAAAGGCGTTTTAATCTAAATTAGTAATCAATGAATCTGTTTGGCGGATTAATCCGATGTACTGTCTCTTGGAGGACTGTTATTCTAGTGGGGGCGTCTCAGACCCGGTAAAGTCGGATTGGTGTTTTACCACTGCTGGTGTTGCAAAAGCAGGGTGGGGTGGCTGCGGGGTGGCTCCGCTCACCCTCTGGAGCATTAAAGGCATTATTCTCGGAGCCTTCTAAGGAGCACAGCACTATAGGTTCAGAATTATCAGCGATCAAGTTGGCTCTCGATGTGTTCTTAGAGGCTGCGTTTTTGTAGGTAAAGGCATTGGTGGTGGAATCTACTTCCCTTATTGCTTGAATTGGATCTCTCATCCCTTGAACCGCCCGTTGAATTTTTTACATATCTTGGATGAAAATGATGAAAAGGTCAATTTGATTGGCACTGTTGTTTTCAAGCGTGCTTCGTATAGTCCTTCGACGGCGGACTGTTTGACTGGCCAAGGGTTGGCTAGACTTGATTTGTTCATGGCTTGGTGGTAGATCTCGGCTGGAGATCCTTCATCTCAAGTTTGAGGAAGTGTTTTATTGATGCGAAAAGGGAAGACCAGGGAACATCAAATCCCTGCAAAGTTTTCTTGATGGCAAGGTTATGAAGGAGCCATCGGACAAGATCAGATTCAAAAAAATTAGCACTTGCAACAGCAGGGATGATGCCTCGCCAGAAATTTTGAACACTGGGACAGTCTCTCAAAACGTGCAAGATTGACTCCTCACCAAGTTTACAAAAGGGGCAGGAAGAGTCCGAGGACATTCCACGATGAACACGTTCACCATTAGTCATGAGTTTTTGCTTCAATGAAAGCCATAAGAAAAGGCGAAGACGTTGCAGAATAGGGAGTGACCAAACTGATTTCCAAATTGGACTAGCATCATGTCAGCAATGCTCGAGTTGTAAACGGTAGGCAGATCCAATGCTGAAGTCACTGTCATTATTGCAGTGCCAAAGAATGGAGTCATCTTTGTCAGATTCAATAGGCGGTCTAACATTAATAATGTGAGCCACTACGAAAGGAGGGCCAAGAGACATGAGTGCCTGAGTATTCCAATAGCCATCAGAGTTTACAAAGTCGTGCACATGCAGGTCATCAGAAATCATATTTGCGTCAAGGGCATAATTATGTAGAGGACCTAAAGAAGGTACCCAATTATCGCTCCAAAACCGACAACTAGTTCCAGTGCCGATCGACCATATGAGAAGGGGAAGAAGGGAATTCCATGCCCTTGAAAGCCCACGCCATAAAGGGCTGCAAATTGCCCGTTGGATGGACGATGAGCAAGCTTCAACTAAATTATATTTTTGTAGGAGAGTTTTGACCCAAAGAGCATTCTTACAAGTCAAGAGATTATACCCCAGTTCCATCATGAAAGCCATGTTTTTCTCATGCATTCGAGGGATTCCAAGGCTGCCTCGGGTCCTTGGTTGGCAGACTGTTTCCCAATTGACAAGTGAGACTTTCGGACCTGTGGGAGAAGAGCCCCAAAGAAAACGGCGGATACAGGCTTCGATGTCCTTACAGACTTGTTTAGGTAGATACATCGTTTACATAAAATAAACTGGGATGACACTGAGAACCGAGTTTGCAGAGTGAGACGGCCAGCTAAAGAAAGTTTGAGCTGCCCAACCCGACAATTTATTCTGTATCATATCAATAATGGAGAAGTTTGAAGCAGTAGGTTGTTTATGGAAAATGGGAACACCCAAATACTAGCCAATTGATTCAACTTCTTGGAAGTCAAGTTTGGAGATAACGGCGATCAACTATATCGATATTAGGCGAAAACCACACTTGAGTCTTAGTTTTACTTACCTTGTGCCCCAGAGAAGTAGCCAAAGTCGAAGAGCACAGAGTTAATGGTGTCGACATGCTGGGGACCTGCTCTAGCATAGAAGACAAGATCATCAGCGAAAAAAAAATGGGAGACACGCAATCCTTGGCGGCCAAAAGTGAATGGCTTCCAAGTACCATTATTAACCGTAGCAGAGATACGGTGGCCCAATCGTTCCATAGCAAGCACAAAGAGATAAGGCGAGAGTTGGTCTCCTTGTCGAATACCGCAATGCGGGGTATTAACACGTGAAAGAGATCCATTCCACTATATCTGAAAAGTGGAAGTGGTGATGCATTGCATGATGATTTGTATGAGACTTCGCGGAAAACCAACCTCAGAAAGGGTATTGTTGGGAAATAAACAAGTAACGAGTAATTTCTATATAACCAGATTAGTGAGAATGCGAAATAAAAGCGGAAAAATAATACCCGAAATTGATAACGGAGTTCAACCAATTTTGCTTACGTCTCCGGACTTCTGCAGATCTTTTACTAGAGAGAAAATTTACAGGAGTTCACAAAACACTCACTACTCACAAGAAAACTCTCTAGTATTGGGAGAAAGAAATGATTTGGGATTTTGGGATGATTTTGAAGCTAAATGGGCTAGGGTATTTATATTTGAAGCTAAATGGGCTAGGGTATTTATAGTTGAAGCTTAGGGACTAATCTTGTAAAATACCCTAAAAAATGCAATAACTAAAATTGCAATTAACCCATTTACATTTTAATTTAAAAATTGGGGCACCGAATTCGGTGCCCCCTTTGTTGAAAATGTGCTGCCTGCGTCCCTCATTTCTATGCCCACCATTTTTGACTTTTCTCCAACAATCTCCCACTTGAGGACTGATTTTAATCTGTCTTCACATCTCGATCGATGCAGCAGCATTTCTAGTCTTGTTATTCTAGCATGCCAACTGAAGTTGAACACAACTTCAGTTTGTCCGTGGTCACCGTCTTTGTCAACATGTCTTCCGGATTTTGAGCTCCAATAATCTTTTCAAGTTTCAAAATCCCATCTTCCAGAAGAGACCGAATAAAATGATATCTCAATTGTATGTGCTTCGTCCTGGAATGAAAGGATGGATTCTTCGCTAGATGGATAGCACTTTGACTGTCGCAATACAAGACATTGTTTTCTTGTTTCTTGCCTAACTCTTCCAAGAAACTTTGGAGCCAAACCATCTCCTTGCTGGCTTCCGTAACAACGACATATTCTGCTTCAGTTGTAGAGAGAGAAACTATCTTCTGTAGTTGAGAAACCCAACTCACTGCAGTTCCTCCTAGAGTATATACATTCCCTGTAGTGCTTCTTCTGATGTCGACATTTCCGGCTAAGTCAGTATCTACATAGCCTGTCAGTATCGTATCTCCACCTTTGAAACAAAGTGTTTTGTTTGTGGTACCCCGTAGATATCTGAGGATCCATTTGACATCTTCCCAGTGTACCTTGCCTGGATTATTCATGTACCTACTAACAGCTCCCACTCCATCAGTAATATCTGGTCTGGTACAAACCATGGCATACATCAGACTTCAAATTATTGAGGCATACAACACCTTCACTATGTGTGCACGTTCTTCCTCCGTCTTTGGTGACTGTTCTTTGGAGAATCTAAAATAAACACCTAAAGGTGTACTTACTGGTTTAGCATCTTGCATGTTGAACCTGGAGAGTACTTTGTTGATGTACTCAGCCTGTGATAACATCAAAGTCCCTGACTTTGTGTTTCTCTTAATCCTCATCCCAAGAATATGCTTTGCAGTGCCCAGATCCTTCATAGCAAACTGCTTCGACAATTTTTGCTTCAAGTGTATAATCTCTTGCATGTCTGAGTCTGCATGTCATCAATGTACAATAATAAAATAATGAAGCTGTTGTCAAACCTCTCGATGTAGTAACAATGATCTACTTGGCATCTGGTAAAACTACTGCTACTCATGAAGCTATCAAACTTCTTGTACCACTGTCTAAGAGCTTGTTTTAAACCATACAAACTCTTATTCAACTTGCATACCATGTTTTTCTTGCTTGCCTCTATGAAGCCTTCTGGTTGTCTCATATAGATTTCTTCCTCTAAATCACCATGAAGGAAAGTTGTCTTTATATCTAACTGCTCAAGATGTAAATTTTCTGCAGCTACAATTTTCAACACTAGTCTGATTGTAGACAATTTTACAACTGGAGAGAAAATTTCATTGTAGTCAATACCTTCCTTTTGTTGAAAACCTTTGATAACCAATATTGCTTTGTAGCGTTTGCTCTCATTGTGCTATTCTTTGATCCTGTAGATCCACTTGTTATGGAGCGCTTTCTTGCCTGGTGGTAATTCAGCTAATTTCCACGTCTGATTTGACATAAGCGAGTCCATCTCATCTTTCATAGAAGACTCCTACTTGACTGAATCCTCCACATGCATTGCTTCATCATAGCACTTTGGTTCACCATTGTTAGTCAGCAACAAGTAGTGTAAAGAAGGCGAATAACACTGGGTTGGTTTAGGAATTCTTGATGAGCGTCTTAGTTCTGGTGTGCCTGGTTCTCCTTGAACTGCTTCAGGACTGATCTGAACATCATTTCTAGAAATCTCCTCAAACTCAGCAAATTCCTTTGTTTCAGCTTCGGTGTTGGAGCTACTTGATTCTATGGTTGATCTGTCTTTGTACATCACATTCTCATTGAAAATGACGTCTCTTCTTCAGATGATCTTCCGATTTTCATAGTCCCAAAATCGATAACCGAACTCATCACCACCATAACCAACAAAGACGCATTTGTTGGACTTGGCATCAAGTTTACTTCTTTCAGTATAATCTATGTGTACATAAGAAATACAACCAAACAATCTTAAGTGTGAAAGGTTTATTTCTTTCTTGCTCCAAACTTCCTCTAGTATTCTGCCATCCAAAGGAACTGAGGGCCCATGGTTGATCAGGTAAGCTGTAGTGTTGATAGCTTCAGCCCATAGAAATTTGGGTAATCCGGCATGTATCCTCATGCTTCTAGCACATTCATTCAGAGTTCTGTTCATGCGCTCTGTTACGCCATTCTGCTGCGGTGTCATGGGAATTGTTGTTTCCATCTTGATCCCATTGTTTACGCAGAAATCTCTGAATCTCCTATTTCTATACTTTCCTCCATTGTCAGACCTCAACCGCTTGACTTTCAGACCAGTCTCATTTTCCACCATGGCCTTCCATTTTCTGAAGGTATCAAAGACTTCTGATTTCTTATTCAGAAAATAAACCCACACGTTCCTTGTTGAATCATCGATGAAGGTGACATAATATAATGAGCCTGCAAGAGATGAAACTAGAGATGGTCCATATACATCAGTATGAACCAACTCTAACTTTTCTGCCTTGGGTGTCTTACCAATCTTTGTAAAGATGACTTTATTTTGTTTTCCAAAGATGTAATCCTCGCATAGTCCGACATCTAAATTCTTTAGATATGACAACTTCCCTTTTGACAAAAGTGTTTTCATCCCTTTCTCGCTCATATGGACAAGCTTTTGGTGCCATAGGTTTGATTTTCCATCAGCATCTGCTGCAACAATGATATTCTCTAAATTTGATGTTACATAGAGAGTACCAGTCTTCTTACCACGAGCAATGACGAGTGCTCCTTTGGTAATTTTCCATTCACAGCCTGAAAAAGTTGTGTTATATCCTTCTCCATCAAGCTGTCCTACAGAAATCAAACTTCTTTTTAGGCCAAGAATATGTCTCACTCCCTTCAGCGTCCAGGTGGTCTGGTTTGACAACTTTAATCGGATGTCTCCTTTTCCGACGATCTTCAAGGTTTCATCATCAGCTAGATGAACCCTCCCAAAATCACCACTGACATATTTCTCTATGATTTCTTGGCATGGGGTGGAGTGGAAAGATGCCCCTGAATCCAAGATCCATGATTCAATCGGACTGTTGACGCTTAGAATCATGGCATCACCTGTCTCCTCTGCCATGTTGGCAGATTCCTGTGTGCCGGTATTTTTCTTCGGTGCTCAACAATCTCTTTTAAGGTGACCCTTTTTGCCGCAGTTATAACAGGTAAAATCTTTCTTTCCCGTTCTTGATTTTCCCCTTTTGGATTTGGATCTGCCACAATTTGAATTTCTTTCTGAAGTTCTCCATCTGGACTCCGTGTGCAAGGCAGAGGAGGTTGATGCTTCATCTGATTCTCTTCGACGAATTTTTTCGCTCAGTACCGTATCCCGGATATCGTCGAATTTTAATTTGCTATTTCCCGACGAGCTGCTGACTGCTGTAACAGTAGTATTCCAACTGTCTGGTAGAGATGATAAGAGAATTAAAGCTCGAACTTCATCATCAAATTCAATCTCCACGAAACTCAACTGGGTTGTGATTGTGTTGAGTTCATTTAGGTGTTGAGCCACTGATGCCCCTTCCGCCATCCGCAAATTGAATAATCGCCTCATCAAATGAACTTTGTTTGAGGCTGATGGTTTCTCATACATACTGGAGAGAGCCGCAATAAGACCCGCCGTGGTATTTTCCCTTGCTATGTTGAAAGCAACATTGCGGGATAACGTCAGTCGGATAACTCCAAGGGCTTGTCTGTCGAGAAGAGCTCAGTCTTCATTCTTCATGTCCTCTGGTTGCTTTTCTGAGAGAGGTTGATATAGATTTTTCTGGTACAGATAATCTTCAATTTGCATCTTCCAAAAGCCAAAGTCTGCACCATTGAACTTCTCTATTTTTACTTTTCCTTCGTCTGCAGCCATCGCTCCCACTCGAATCTGGCTTCGTTTGGATCGTTTTTAACAATTCTTGCGAACCACCGTGTATTAGAACACCTCCGTCGACAAATTCGTATCGTCGACAAAATTTCACTATTCACAAAATTCACTATTTACATGAATAATAATGAATAGTAACCTCACAAAAAATTGACAAAATTCGTAACCAAAAGCTCTAATACCAGTTGTTGGGAATTAAGAAGAGTACGAATAATTTCTCTATAACCAGATTAGTGAGAATGCGAAATAAAAACAGAAAAATAATACTCGAAATTGATAACGGAGTTCAACCAATTTTGCTTACGTCTCCAGACTGTTGCAGATCTTTTACTAGAGAGAAAATTTACAGGTGTTCACAAAACACTCACTACTCACAAGAAAACTCTCTAGTATTGGGAGAAAGAAATGATTTGGGATTTTGGGATGATTTTGAAGCTAAATGGGTAGGGTATTTATAGTTGAAACTTAGGGACTAATCTTGTAAATACCCTAAAAAATGTAATGACTAAAATTATAATTAACCCATTTACATTTTAATTTAAAAATTGGGGCACCGAATTCGGTGCCTCCTTTGTTGAAAATGTGCTGCCTGCGTCCCCCATTTCTATGCCCACCATTTTTTACTTTTCTCCAACAGGTATCTCGGATAAAATCCCATCTAATCCGATCAAAAGCTTTCTCAAAATCTACTTTAATGGTCATCCACCCCTTTTGTCGTTAACTTGTCGCATAGAGTGAATAATTTCCTGGTTGATGAATATATTTTCAGTGATGGAGCATCCCAGAATAAAGCTAGTTTGGCTCGATGAAACTAGAAGCGGGATGATTTGTTAAAGTCGTCGAAAATAAATTTGTTGATGATCTTATATGCAATAGTGCAGAGACTGATTTACCTGAAATCAGCAAAGGTCTCCGACACTTCTTTTTTTGGGATCAAAGTAAGAACCGTTCTATTAAGGGATGGCTCTATCGAGCTACCATTAAAGACTGATTGAACCATATTGCAGACCATATCACCCACAATTGACCATTGAGATCGGAAGAACTTCGTATGTAACCCATCATGGCCTAAGGCTTTGAGGGGCACCATACTAAATAGAGCATCCCGGATTTCATTTTGAGAAGGGATATCAAGAAGAAGTCGCATATCATCATCTGGGATCAATGAAAAGTAGCTCGAGGGAGAGAAAATATCCTGAACCTCTATGTCATTGGCGAACAGCTTTAGAAAATAATTGGATGTCTCATCTTTAAGTTCATCATCGTCATGGACCCATTCTCCCGAAGTGGTTTTGAGCGCAAAGATTCGGTTTCAAGTGGAGCATTGTTTTCCGGTGGAAAAAATTAGTATTGCAGTCACCTTCAGAAGCCCATTGAAGACAAGATTGTTGTTTCCATAAGCATTCTTCAATATCAAGTATTCACTCAAGATCGAGCATTAAATCAGCTTCAAGATAGATTAAATAGCTTTGTGAACCCCTCGGAGAGGAGCCATAACAATCTTTTTTTGTGTGCCAATATATCCAAATGTTGTACGATTACATTCATCAGCAACTTCCGTTATGGTAGCAATGGTTTCTGAAAGAGTATAAGAATGGGTACAATTGTCTTGAACCATCCGGGGAAAATCATCATAGGACAACCAACCAGAGAAATAAAGAAATTTTCGTTGTTTAGAGATAGGCGTAACATTGCCAACCATGAGTAGTAATGGCCGTTGATCTGAACACATGTAGAGGATATGGATAACAATAGATTGAGGGAATTGCTCATCCTATTTTGTATTGCAGAGGACTCGATCAAGTCTGACAGAGACATGACCCCTTGACCAGGTGAACTGAGGTCCTTGGAAGCCCATGTCACGTAAACCATAATCATAGATCATATCTTGAAAGGCTTTGCAAGGCCGAGAAGAATAAGCCCCCATGATGATCACGATAACTAACAGTGGCATTAAAATCACCCAAGATAATCCATGGGTGTTAATGGAGGAAGTTGTTGGAAAAATATGAATGAATTGATCATGACTATTCATGAAAAATAATTATTTCATTTCACCCCAAAAGTCATGTTTTTCATATTAACCTTTTGATTAAAAGGTTATGATTTTTAATCAAATGATTCAGTCATTTTATTTAAAGGTCTTAACCTTTCAATAAATGTATTAACCTTTCAATACAAATTCATCTCCCTATATAAAGGCTAAGTTGTGACATATTTAAACACACAACGTTTTACTATTTTCTTTCAAGTACTTTTCTTTCAATTCTTCGATTCTTCCAAAGTTATTTTCCGGTGATAGATAAAGACAAAGATTGTGTTCGATTGTTCACTACGGTTGTGCTTACTGTTGTGAACGTTTGTTGTTGTATCCTGGGAGACCGACGTCCAACATTACTCAAAGCACCGAAGAGAGGACGAATCTGTCTTAAGGAAACTGTTCATTCAAGCCTCAACAAAACTCTTCTTCTATTATTCAGTTCCATCCGATTACATGTTCTATTTTAATTTCACAATTATTTTTATTATTGAAACGGAATTTTAGATTATAATACTACAACACTATTTTTCAATATTTTGCAACAATCTTAAGACAAATTCCTTGTGTTGTAGTTCAATCTAAACTCAAACATATTATGTTGATAATATATTTAGGTTAATATATATTTCGTTTCATATTATATTTATTATTTTGGTTTTGATTCTGATTACAAAAAAATGTTTGATACTTCATCCAATTCACAGTCTAATGCGATTGTCGCTACACAGACTTAGGCTGCGAGCCAAACGTTACCTATGACCATAAGTCATAATGAAAAGCCTGCGAAATTCAATTGAGATAATTTCAAAACATGGCAACATAAAATGTTGTTTTATTTGTCGACATTGAATCTGGCCAAATTTTTAAAGGATGACCCTCCTACTATTAGAGATGATGAAATGGATACTGCAACCGCATTCAACATTACCGAAGCATGGAAGCACTCTGATTTCCTATGCCGTAACTACATCTTGAATGGTTTATCTGATGCACTTTATGAAGTATACAGCATAAAGAAAAATACTAAGGAACTATGGGAATCATTGGACCATAAATACAAAACTGAAGATGCTGGTGCTAAGAAATTCTTAGTCGCCAAATTCTTAAACTTTGTAATGGTTGATTTTAAAACTGTTGTGAATCAGGTGCAAGAATTCCAACTAATCATTCATGATATTCTCGCAGAAGGGGTGATTATAAGTGAATCCTTTCAGGTGGCGGCCATTATTGAAAAACTTCCGCCTGCTTGGAATGACTTTAAGAATTACCTTAAGCATAAGAGAAAAGAAATGACAATAGAAGATCTGATTGTGAGACTTCGGATTGAAGAAGACAATCGATGTGCGGCTAAAAGGCTAAACAAAACAGCCAATCATAACATTACCAAGGCAAATGTGGTGGAAGTAAAAAATGACTTCAAGAAAAAAACAAGCTCAAATTAAGTCTAAACTAGGACCAAAAGGCGGTGTTTATAAGAAGTAAAAATTCCAAGGGAAATGCTTTAATTGCAATAAGACGGGACACATTTCATCCGAATGTAGGCTTCCAAAAAGGTCCAGAATAAAAGAGACTAATGTTGTGACAAAAATTTCCAAAGAAGTATCTGAACCAGACTTATATGTTGTGGTCTCTGAAGTTAACTTGGTTGATTCAAATCCAAGAGAATGGTGGCTTGATACTGGTGCCACACGCCATATTTGTTGTGACAAGGACTCATTTGCAGAGTTGGTTTCTTGTGAGAAAGGAGAAAAGCTCTATATATGCAATGTTGTAACTTCCAAGATCAAGGGGAAAGGCACTGTAATTTTAAAGATGACTTCTGGCAAAGAGTTGAAACTTCAAAACGTGTTGTATGTGCCTAACATATGAAAGAACCTTGTCTCTAGGACCCTCCTAAGTATACATGGCTTTAGGATGGTGTTTGAATTCCAGAAGTTAGTTTTATCAAAAGGGGGAATATTTGTGGGAATGGGATATATATTGAACAATATGTGGAAACTCAATGTTATCTCTGTAAAAGCTAAAAATATAAATAAGAATGATTCTTCTTCTTCTTCTTCTTCTTCTGTTTATATGATTGAGTCATTAAATATATAGCATGGTAGACTCGGACATGTTAATTATGATACTTTACGTAGATTAATTAACTTAGAACACATTCCCCCATTTCACATTAATTATAATCATAAATATGAAACATGTTTTGAAGTTAAACTAACAAGGTCTTTATTTAAACCCGTTGAAAGAAATACAGAACCTCTTGATCTAATACACAGTGATGTTTGTAACTTAAAATTTGTTCAAACTAGAGGAGGGAATAAATATTTTATTACCTTCATTGATGATAGCACAAAATATTGCTATGTATATTTGCTTAAAACCAACTTAACAAAAGGATTAAGAGGGTGAGAAGTGATCGTGGTGGTTAATATGTTGAACCATTTGGTCAATATTGTGCACAACATGGTATTATTCATGAAGTAACACCATCATACTCTCCTCAATCGAATGGAGTAACAGAGCGGAAAAATCGAACATTAAAGGAAATGATGAACACTATGCTAGGAAGTTCTGGGTTGTCACAGAACATGTGGGGGGAAGATGTCTTATCAGCAAATTACCTTTTAAATAAGGTGCTCCGAAAGAAAAAAGAGACAAGACATCATATGAGTTGTGGATAAGCAAGAAACCTTCCTATAATTACTTGAAAGTGTGGGGTTGTCTTGAGAAGGTAATGGCTCCTTTATCAAAGCAAATGAAAATAGGTCATAAAACAGTGGATTGTGTTTTCATTGGCTATGCTCACCACAACAATGCATATCGATTTTTTGTGCATGAATCAAAGAATCTAGAAATTCACAAGAATACGATATTAGAATCTAAAAATGCCTCATTCTTTGAAAATATATTTCCTTGTAAAATTAGAGAAGTTGACTCAAGTTCAAGGAAACAAACTTTAGAAACTATTAATGAAAATAGTCAAGACTTCCAACAAGAGGTTGAAGTCGAGATAGAGCCAAGAAGAAGTAAAAGGGCATGGGTAGAAAAATCCTTTGGATCGGATTTTCTAACCTATATGCTAGAGATTGTACTTGTAACTTATAGCGAAGCTATATGTTCATCTGAAAGTAATTTTTGGAAAGATGCCATCAAGAGTGAAATTGATTCCATCATGCAAAATCATACGTGGGAATTAGTGGATCTTCCTCATGGAATTAAACCATTAAATTCTAAATGGATTTTCAAACGAAAAATGAAAGCAGATGGAACAATTGATAAGTATAAGGTCATATTGGTTATTAAAGGGTACGTACAAAAGGAAGGTCTTGATTACTTTGATACATATTCACCCGTATCAAGAATAACTTCTATAAAAATGATACTTACAATTATCATTTTACAGAATTTAGAAGTACATCAAATAGATGTTAAGACCACTTTTCTTAATGGAGACCTTGATGAGGAAATTTACATGGAACAATCTGAGGGGTTATGTAGCTCCAGGATAAGAAAAGAAAGTATGTAAGTTGATAAAGTCATTATATGGACTTAAGCAAGCACCAAAGCAATGTCATGAAAAGTTTGATAGTGTTATGGTATCAAATGGATTTAAAATAAATGAGTGTGACAAATGTGTGTATGTCAAAATCACTGTTGATGAATATGTAATCCTATGCCTATATGTTGATGAGATACTCATAATTAGAAGTAACAATGAAATGATAAAACGTACCAAAAATATGTTAAATTCAAAATTTGACATGAAAGATATGAGACTTGCTGACATGATTTTGGGCATCCAAATCAAAAGGTCATCTGAAGGTCTCATATTGACTCAGTCACACTATGTAGACAAGATTCTTGAAAAATTTGGCAAGGATGATTCTGGTGTAGCCAAAACTCCGATAGATACAAGTCAACATCTATTTAAAAAAAGGTGAAAGTTTTAATCAAGTGGAATATGCAAGGATCATAGGCAGTCTAATGTACCTTATGAGTTGCACTAGACCTGATATTGCTTTCACTGTAAATAGTTTAAGCAGATTTATAAGCAATCAAGGATAGAAAAACTGCAAAGCAATTGTAAGGGTATTGAGATATCTCAGATATACTCGAAACTATGGATTGCATTATTCTAGAGATCTTATTGTGTTAGAAGGATTCTCTGATGCCAATTGGATATATGATATTCAAGATACCAAAGGCACAAGTGGTTATATTTTCACTTTGGGATGAGGAGCTTTGTCAAGGAAATCCTCAAGACAAACAATTATAACCAGATCCACGATGGAATCTGAGTTTGTAGCCTTAGAAAAAACTGGAGAAGGGGCAGAATGATTACGAACCATTAGACAATTGATCTCAACTAGAGTTATTTCTATTGATTTTATAAGATCAAAAGATAACATTACAGATCCGTTAACCAAAGGGTTGAATCGAGATCAAGTTGATAAAACATCAAGAAGAATGTGACTAAAGCCCATGAACTATGTGAAGGAAAACCCAACCTAGTTGGCTAGAGATCCTAAGATCTAGGTTCAATGGGACAACCTACTTGCATATAGACCTGGTGAGGTGTAACACCCTAACCCATACCCGACCCGGATACGAGTTCGAGGTGTCACATTGACTTTTCAAAACCTTTACTTGTACAAAATAGCAAGACATTTGAACTTATTTTAAGAAAATAAGATCATATATTGTTCAATTGTGTTTGGTATAAAATTTTGAAAACAAAAGCGTATTTATGAACAATAAAATATGGTATGAACAGTACCGTATGAACAATATCCCAAATGTTAAAATTTCCACATTATAAATAGGGAACAAATACCATTTACATATATATACGTTTAAAATATTCTAAAACTCGATCAGAGAGTATCCAATACAAATCCTTTATTTATTACATGCCAACTGAATTCTTTATAATAAAATACATATAATTCGATTTACATTTCTGATCTGATCTTTGGTAAGGAGAACTGACCTGTCTTGTTACTCTTTGTTTCTCCTTTCGCTTTCCATACCTACGTGTGAAAAAATCACACGCTAAGTCGATGACTTAGTGAGGCATATAAACATATAATGAAAACTTATCTTCTAACAGTGCATAATCATTTAACATCATCATATCAAACAGAATCATATACCTTTGCATGTAATAAATACACTCATGCACATATATCATCCTACAATACCATACATTTTACCAATTAATGCATACTTCATCATATAAATCATATCACGTTTCATATCATTAAAAGTATATACATAACATTCATTGTTATTTCTTTATTTCACCCATGTACACTATTGAGAACAGAGGTATGTGAGTACATTGAGGTTGTGCACTAATGCTGTCACCACAGCTTGTATAAATTCCCTCATGGGGCACCAAACATTTGTTCAGTATTCGTCCCGAAGGACTGCTATATATGTCCCGTAAGACCACTACGTCCCGAAGAACTACGTCCCAAAGGACTACAATACCCTCGACTCTTGGCATGCCAACTACACCTATAGCTCTCATATCATATAACATGGGCATTATCATTTATAACATTTCATATCACTTGTTCTTTCTCTTCTATCACATACCACATGTATGTGTAACCATATATCTCATATCATATCACATGTATCATCAGTACATGTATTCACGTAGATCATTTTATATGGCTTATATCATCTCTCATTTCACATATTCATATAGGCACGTAGTTCACTTACACGTAAAACATTTTCATATGATTCACATTCACATGTCACATAGTTTACATCTTATTCTTATGTCTTCTCATAGACATATATTCATATGTTCACATCACTTATATCATATAACCATGTAATATCATAACTCATTCTCATATGGTTTGTATATGATTCTTGTTATATAACTCATATCACACATAAGTTCATATTATGTAGCATATATCAAATATTCCTGAAATCACATAGATCGTATAGTCACTTCTGTCAATGTCTCCTAGTTTATATACTATTCTCATATTGTACTATAGATCAATGTTATTTAACTTATCCTACTTTTCATCTAATCGCATAAGTTGGTTATACCAATTCTGATATATATATATATATATATATATATATATATATATATATATATATATATATATATATATATATATCTTACTCATGTAATTTATATCCTTTCTCTTGTTATCACATAAATCCTTGCTATTTTATATAGTTCGTGATTCTATAGTCACTTATAATAGCATGTGTCTATTTTATCTCATATCATATAGTTCTTTAACTTATGTCTTATATCACATATTTCTATTATACAACTTATATAATCACATCCACTACTTAAACCAGTTCACATAGCTCGTCACACTAATATGTGTTCACTCAATTCATGTAACATATGCAATAAGTATAACACATGTACCCATTTTCATGTACTCATGCAAACATAAGAATCACAATTCAAATAACATTTTAGGAGTCACTTCTTACCATAGTAACTCCATTATTGGCTCATCGCAAGTCAATGTTCGTTCAATAATATAAGTACAATTAAAATTGCACTCACCTTAGCCTTGCTTTGATTCAATCACAATCCTTTGATTATTCTGGAAACTTGTTTAGGCTCAATATATACATAAATATAACATTTCAAAACAACCATCAGAAGCCTAAACCTTAAACTTCATGTTAATAACTTAAGCTAGTTTTACGAACCATAATTTCATTTTCCATTTAGGGGAACATACTGGAATTTTTCGTTCAAGGGGGGAATCGATGCCCCTTCATAGGGTATCGGTTCCCTCTGCCCAGAAATTGTATTTCAAGCCCGAAAATAATCAATTCTTAAATCAATTCTTCTATTTTAAATCCCT